ATAGTAAAAACTGTTCAGTTTTAAGCAAAGTTAGTAACAGTCTCACGTGAGCACAGCAGGCAGCGTAGGTTTATTTTTGTGTGAAAATATGGCAGATCGCAGTGAAAGGTTTTACAACCGAGTGATGAGGGAAATTATATGAATTAAAGTATGAATTAATTATAGGCCTATGAATGTATCTCTAAAGGGAACCGACTCTCGAGAAAAGTTTTGATTGCATTTTTTTTTATCTTCCCTCCATATACTGCCTAATTAAGCATTGTTTATAAGCGCAGCAATGCTTTGTTTACTGAAACAGCTGTATTTCTGTTGTTCCATAAGTGCCACCTGCTGTCTGAGAGTGGAACTGCACTTTTATTCAGCCTGTTTGGCATTTTTGTTTAAAAATCAGACTGATTTGTAAATATTAACCAGTTGATGGAAAATAATCTATAAGCAATTCTGGTAATAAGGTATCTAGAATTATTAACAGAGCAGATAATAATTTTGATTCATATCCCTTTTCTTAAAAATGACTTAAAATATGAAATGTGCAATAAAAATCCTGATGGTCATAATTTCAGATTTATATTTTAATTATCATTAAAACCTTATTACCATGATTTGAAAAGCTCATAGTAAAAACTGTTCAGCTTTAAGCAAAGTTAGTAACAGTCTCACGTGAGCACAGCAGGCAGCGTAGGTTTATTTTTGTGTGAAAATATGGCAGATCGCAGTGAAAGGTTTTACAACCGAGTGATGAGGGAAATTATATGAATTAAAGTATGAATTAATTATAGGCCTATGAATGTATCTCTAAAGGGAACCGACTCTCGAGAAAAGTTTTGATTGCATTTTTTTTTATCTTCCCTCCATATACTGCCTAATTAAGCATTGTTTATAAGCGCAGCAATGCTTTGTTTACTGAAACAGCTGTATTTCTGTTGTTCCATAAGTGCCACCTGCTGTCTGAGAGTGGAACTGCACTTTTATTCAGCCTGTTTGGCATTTTTGTTTAAAAATCAGACTGATTTGTAAATATTAACCAGTTGATGGAAAATAATCTATAAGCAATTCTGGTAATAAGGTATCTAGAATTATTAACAGAGCAGATAATAATTTTGATTCATATCCCTTTTCTTAAAAATGACTTAAAATATGAAATGTGAGATTTATCTTTTTTTTTTTTTTTTTTTACTTTTTCTGAACGTGTAATACATGTTAGTAGATAACCGACAAATAACTTTAATCACCAAGTGACAATAAATACAGCAACAGTATAAACAGATGCAGAAAATAGTGAAACAAAAATAAAGTACTGGTAAGCACTAAATCTGCATACTTTATTTATGTTGCATAACATTGCTGGTATATAGGGTTATTTTTTTATTATTTATAATTTTGAAACCTTACTCAAAAGTGCTCAAGAAAATCAGAAAATAGGTCACAGAAAGGATTGCTTTACAGCGATTTTATATTATTTCTTTATTTCAGTCACTTTGAATGGCAGAAACAGTGCTTCTGTCGCCAAAGGCTTGTCACATTTTCTCAAGAATAATCTGGCAACAAATTCAAAAACTGTCAACATAAAAATGTCAAAAAAAAAAATACAATTACAAAAGTGTGGCCACTTAATCTGCATGTTAACTAAGGCCACATTTACAAAAAAGTCAGGGCTTTCCCTATCTGATCTTTTTTCCCCCTTCCTTTCCTTTTTTCCTTCGTCTCAAGAAATATCTGCGTACACACAAAACCACTGAAACTGACTCAAAACGATGTAGTATACATGCCAGACCAGTATGTGGCGCTGTAATTCTGCCACAGAGATACACTAAAAACAGAGAAGAAGACTTGGTATCACTTGGAGCATGCGCATAAACCTTGCGCGCTGTATACAAACCCAACACAACAACACACAAGAAGAAATTGCTAATTGGCTCAGTAGCTTCTGCAGCACGAACATAAGCATGTAGTCCGCCATTGTTGTTGTTGTTGCTGATACGTGACGTAGTGGTGTCTGACTAGGGTCATCGTTTCACAAAATATACAGATTGGCTGTACACACGAAAACGCAAGGGTGTCGTTTTCAGATTTATCCACTCTGGGACCTGGTTTCAAAAAATAGCGGTTTCAGGCTCCCAAAACACCGGATCTGTCTGGACGAAACGGCGATACGATACAAAATGTTTATGTATACAGCTAAACGTGTCTCTGTGTGGACGGGGCCTAAGGCTTGGACACCAACATGTATCCAAAACCCCCTCTACTGGTTCCTGCACAGGAAAACACCTGACCTGCTGACACTCTCTGCTGCAGTTCTTTGGGTGTTTAAAGGGGTCATATGATGTTGCTAAAAAGAACATTATTTTGTGTGGCGCTGTAATTCTGCCACAGAGATACACTAAAAACAGAGAAGAAGACTTGGTATCACTTGGAGCATGCGCATAAACCTTGCGCGCTGTATACAAACCCAACACAACAACACACAAGAAGAAATTGCTAATTGGCTCAGTAGCTTCTGCAGCACGAACATAAGCATGTAGTCCGCCATTGTTGTTGTTGTTGCTGATACGTGACGTAGTGGTGTCTGACTAGGGTCATCGTTTCACAAAATATACAGATTGGCTGTACACACGAAAACGCAAGGGTGTCGTTTTCAGATTTATCCACTCTGGGACCTGGTTTCAAAAAATAGCGGTTTCAGGCTCCCAAAACACCGGATCTGTCTGGACGAAACGGCGATACGATACAAAATGTTTATGTATACAGCTAAACGCGTCTCTGTGTGGATGAGCCCTAAATGTCTGGTATGGTATGGCAATACCTATGCCAATACTTTCAAAAGGGCATTGCATTCCACAGTGACAAATGATAAAACTCAACTCAACATGGGTTAGTGAAACATGATATCCAATTATGAAGTAATCATCCAAAGGCTTCTCAAAAAGCACAGACAGATAAACCATCTTCCTGAAGAAGGGAAATCTGAGTGATGGCACAGGCGTGTGTTTTTGAAGCACTGGAGAAGTAGTGCCTCGGTGGGCGGAGTTTGCAAATTGTCATGATTCTAAACGGGCTTTAGACCATCATCACACCTGGAGGGTGTTACTGTATCCACTGCTAATGTAGCATTGAGTTAAAATATGAAAGGAACTCATCTAATACTTTTTTATAACGTATACCCTACACAGTGGCACTGTAAGCCTAAAGGGGGTTGCACACCAAACGAGAAGTTAACAACTATTTGTGACTAATATCATGCAATTTAATGGACAACTATGTGAGTGGTGCTCTGTGGCCGACCGGGATTTTGAAAAGCCTCTTGAGTTGTAGCTGGGAGACGTGGAGAGACATTGATGGTGCCACCGATGTGCTAAAAAGACACAAACAGTTGTACTTTTCAAATTTTTACTGAATACAGTGAATAATCATTGTCAGTGCATGGTGTGAAAAGTAACCAACTCTTGAATTTAATAACTTGTCAATTCTCTTTTAGCAGAAAATCCTGCTTATTTATTATTTTGGGCCATCTCTCCCCACAAATCTGTTTCATTTTATGAATATTTCTAGGCTGTCTTGAAAGCTCTGCTCTCTTTGGGTTATGCCATGGCATCTGAATTGGCTCAAGGCCAGGACTCCAGGAAAACATATATTTTTCTCTTTCAACCTTTAGTTGATTAACTTGTGTGCTTTGAATCACCTAACCTTTCAAAAGCTTTGAGTCATGAACTGCTGTCCTGACATTCCCCTGTAAAATAAATCGTAGAATGAGTTGTTTTTTCAATGCTTGCACAGCATCCAAGCCCTGGAGAAGCACTAAACCACAATGCTCTTTTCACCATGCTTCACAACTGGGGAGAGGCTTTAGTGTTGGTCTCCAGTGCCCATCTGTTCTCTAAAACAATTTTGTGCACTTTCAGTAAATGTTCTGAACTGCCTTTGCTTTTGGACCATTTGTTTATTTGTATATTACACACATTAATTAGTATTTCTTGACCAGCCTATGTGTGCCTTTATATAAAGGGCAGGACACCTGTGCAATCCACACATCCCCTTAAGTCCAATTAGCTTTTGAGACGTTGTAACACAGAGGTTCACTTACTTTTTCCAGTCTGCCCTGTCAATGAAAATACAACTGTTTGTGTGAAATTAATCATATTGTTTTTGTCTATAATTGTGACATAAAGATCAGAAGCTCCAGCATGCTTAGAAAGCTTTATTACTCATTACTAGCATTCCAGTGACCCTACATTTTTTGAGTAAGCAATATAAAAATCCAGATATTTTCAAACGGTTCACAAACTTATTCTTGTTACTGTATAGATGCATACCATGTTTGGTCCCAATTTTTTTTTCTTTAACTTTCTCTGAATTTAAAAAGGTATCTTAGCAACTGTGCCATAATAAAATGTATACATTAATTTATTTTACATTTACATTAATTCATTTACATTTATTCATTGAGCAGATGCTTTTATCCAAAGTGATATACAAGCAATTCATCATAAAGGGGAAAATATAACACATGCTTGCAATACAAAGTTTCAGACATAGCTTAGGTAGAACAAGCAAGAACATGGAGGGATTAAGTAAAACTGAATGCATAGATTTTTTTTTTTAAATTAAGATGCAGTTAAGTGCTCATGGAAGAGATGTTTTATGCAACATTGTTTTTAATTGATTTAAAAAAAAAAAAAACATTTACTGCATTAAACAGGTGGTAAAACTAAAATGAATCATAAAATGCAATCTACGTAAGATTCAATCATAAGATTCAATCTACTGAAGCTTTGGTTGCTTTTGCAAAACAAGGTTCAGAACGTTCTAGCAACTATATAGCAATGTGCTGTGCATTTTAAATAAATGCAAAACAAACAAACAAAAAAGATTGTAGTATATTTTACCATTTCCATTTCATGGAATTCTGCAGATTATCCTCCATAGTCAGTGCAGAAAAGTTAAAATGCTGAAAGTAAAATACAGCCAGAAAAATAAATTTCATGTTTTTTTTTTCTTTATAGGTACGTTCTGCAGCCAGAAAGCGTTGGCATCGCTGGCAGGACAATCACGCGCTGCGAGTCAGAGTGGCGAGAGCCATGTCCATCCCCACCTCCCCCACCCGCATCAGCTTTCACAGCATCAAGCAGACCACAGCCGTCTGACCTTTACACAATAGCTTTTCCTCTTTTATAATTCAACCACACAGTTAGACTGCAAGTGGCATGAGAGACCAAAGAAAGCGTTTCGCTGGCAGGACAATCACGCGCTGCGAGTCAGAGTGGCGAGAGCCATGTCCATCCCCACCTCCCCCACCCGCATCAGCTTTCACAGCATCAAGCAGACCACAGCCGTCTGACCTTTACACAATAGCTTTTCCTCTTTTATAATTCAACCACACAGTTAGACTGCAAGTGGCATGAGAGACCAAGTGATTGTTTTTGGCCTTTGATGGAAGTGGGTGTCTCCTCTGACAAGCAGCGAATTGAATTTATATGTCTATGTAATTTTGTGAATGGGCCCTGAATTGAAGGGTTTTAATAGAACTGATCAAAAGTTTTTTTTTTTTTTTCACTCAATAGTGATTGTTCTGGACAACCATCCAGAACACCTATCTATCTATCTATCTAGCTATCTATCTATCTATCTATCCCTGCCAACATTTTTTTTTAAGTTGCCAGCTGCCGCCAGCATTTTTGATAATTTCACAAAACTTTCATGTCCCCAGAATATTTTGTTGTATGATTTCTGAACAAGCATTATGTCAAAAGAATAAGAGAGCATCTGCTTTTAAACAAACAAACAAAAAAAACATTTTATTCTAGCTTCATGCATTTTTTCATCAACACTTGAATGTGTGTTTTATTTAAAAAAAAAACAACATTTTGAACAAAAAGCTGAGAAAATCACATTTTTTGTCAAAGACTATGTCCGGATCAGATTTAGATCATTCATCAAAACACAGATGGAGTAGTTCACGTCCATCAGCACCCCCAAAGCTTCACAGTTGTAAATCACTGTCTGACTCAACATTTCATTCAGTAACATTTGGCGGTTTTGATTTATATGCTGTTTAATGTTTGATGACCTGCATCTGCTTACATATGCATAGATTTGTATGATTTCTGAACAAGCATTATGTCAAAAGAAAAAGAGAGCATCTGCTTTTAAACAAACAAACAAAAAAACATTTTATTCTAGCTTCATGCATTTTTTCATCAACACTTGAATGTGTGTTTTATTTTTAAAAAAGCAACATTTTGAACAAAAAGCTGAGAAAATCACATTTTTTGTCAAAGACTATGTCCGGATCAGATTTAGATCATTCATCAAAACACAGATGGAGTAGTTCACGTCCATCAGCACCCCCAAAGCTTCACAGTTGTAAATCACTGTCTGACTCAACATTTCATTCAGTAACATTTGGCGGTTTTGATTTATATGCTGTTTAATGTTTGATGACCTGCATCTGCTTACATATGCAGAGATTCAGTACTCTTTCAGAAGATGTGTAATAGTGCCTCGTACAGTATAACAGTGGCAACACGGAAAGCTGGAAAATTCAATGACAGGGAAGTGTTGTCTCCTAAGGCTGGCCACACACTTGAAAGTTTTAAGCCTGATTTTGAGCACCCCCAAGCAATCAGGGGAGCATGGCCCAATTCGAGGCTTGTCACAAACAACTTTTTGTCCAAAAAAATCCTCATTTTTGTGGTATCATTACGATTCTTTAACTGCTCCCAATCGAGTCGGAGCATCCCCGATCTCAAATCATAAATATCAAACATTTGATACCCACGATAACTAATGCGAGCGATCAAGCTTCACCAACCAGATGTTGCGTGCTTTTATTGCTTTTATTTTATGTTTGTTGCAGCTACTGTACAAACATGCCACGCAAGTGGAGTCTTGAGAAAGATCACCCATATTCTTTTTACTCCTTTGTTTTGCTTCCCGTAAAACAAAACTCAAAATGTCAATCGTCCTCCTTTTGTTTTTCTTAGCAAGTCATGTGTGATCTCACGAGTCTGAGAGAGATCTCGTCTCACTATGAAAATGCTACTGTAGTTGGCAGGTGTGTGGTCTCGCCATCTGGCCGAATCTTGTAGTGTGTGCATTCAGAGAATTATAATGATAAACTTTGGTTGAAACTTTCCTTAAGTCTGTGGTCTCCACCATATTTGTTTTTAAATTAAGGTTAAGATTTGAAAATCGTCTAGTTTGTCCCAGGCCTAAATAAAGTAAAATTCCTTCAATGATGGGAAAGAGTTAAAGGGATATTTCACCCAAAAATGAAAATTCTGTCATTAATTACTCACCCTCATGTCTTTCTAAACCCGTAAGACCTTCGTTCATCTTCGGAACACAAATGAAGATATTTTATTTCTTTGCGCACAAAAAGTATTCTCGTAGCTTCATAACATTACGGTTGAACCACTGTTGTCACATGGACTATTTTAATGATGTTCTTACTACGTTTCTGGGCTGCATTCAGAGAATTATAATGATAAACTTTGGTTGAAACTGTCCTTAAGTCTGTGGTCTCCACCATATATTTTCTTTAAATTAAGGTTAAGATTTGAAAATCGTCTAGTTTGTCCCAGGCCTAAATAAAGTAAAATTCCTTCAATGATGGGAAAGAGTTAAAGGGATATTTCACCCAAAAATGAAAATTCTGTCATTAATTACTCACCCTCATGTCTTTCTAAACCCGTAAGACCTTCGTTCATCTTCGGAACACAAATGAAGATATTTTTTTTCTTTGCGCACAAAAAGTATTCTCGTAGCTTCATAACATTACGGTTGAACCACTGTTGTCACATGGACTATTTTAATGATGTTCTTACTACGTTTCTGGGCCTGGGAACGTTTCAGTTCACTTGCTGTCTATGGGAGGGTCAGAGAGCTCTTGGATTTCATCAAAAATATCTTAATTTGTTTTCTGAAGATGAACGAAGGTCTTACGGGTTTGGAACGACACGAGAGTGAGTAATTAATGACAGAATTTTCATTTTTGGGTGAACTATCCCTTTAAATATAACTGGTAGCTGACTATGCCACCTAGAGCTGGTAAAAACACTCCAGGATTTTATTAATATTTAGGAGAGGGAACGGATGAGCACTCAGCAGACTGATCAGGCAAATCAGTTTCTTGCAAAAAAAAGTCCCAATGTTCTGTAATAAAAGGATCCTGGTCTACAGTTCAGTCCACACCATCTGAATCACACTTGGCTTCAGAGTCTCCAGATCTCTACATCAGCAGCAGATATGGCAACCTCTGCTACCCAGTCCAAATATTATCCAGCGCTGGTGAAACACATCAGCGTTCAGTCTGATATCTGCAGTAACCCACTGTACGTCTCATCAGCTGGTCATCAACCTGCCTCACACAACACAATTCCAGCAGTGCTCAGTCAGTCACTCACTGCTCACAGTCAAAAGATTCACCTCAAATGGAGCTCTCATATAACTTCCTTCATCTAAAACCAATGCAAATGGCATCTCACTCTGGACAGCGTTCTTTTAACACTTGTTTTTCCAATTCTTTATCAACAGTGTACATTGATACGTGATTTTCATACCTTTGAATAAAAATATGTAAAAACTAGTTGGTCAGATGAATTGTGTATAGACAATAGAGGGCGAACCTTTCTCCTCATGAATAATACTGTATATTTGCCAAAGACAAGAATACATTTTTGTATTTCATTTCATTTGAAATTAATTTTGTAGAATGTTTTAATATCATGTTTTATATTTGTTTATTTGTGTGACTTTCTGCCATGAAACTTTGTATATAATCTATTTTCTGTAAGTTAATGAAAAAAGCCAAAATGCCTTAAAAGTGTGAAATAAACGTATGAGGATGTAAACAATGTACATAGACATTATAATCAGTGTTATTGATCTGATTAAATACAAAACATTGCAAAAACTCAGAAAGAGCCTTTCTTGTCTCATGACACTTCATTCATTTTTAATGCCTCTAAACAGACAATATTGTATCATGTTAAAAACACTTGTGAGAACTGGTTATTTATATAAGCAAAATGTCTTGAAAATATGCTTCAAATGTCTTCCATAAAAAATGCAATGTTGGGTTTCAAAGATCCCTGTTGTGTTGTTTGATTCAATAATCAGACTTTGTTGATGCTTTATCAACTTTAATTAACAACTCTCAACCGCATGCTCACTCACGTCTCTCTGATCTCATTCTCGTTCTGTTCTCGCGATAATCACTACACTACAATCCCAAATACAAGAACTGAATGCAAATAGTTTTCACATGATATTATGCTCTGAAATTTCAAATTGCCAGATTGTCACCAAACAGAGAAAATTTCATTCTTCTAAGAAACATAAAGTGTACATCTACACTGTGACCTCAAATCAAAATCCATTCACAATCTCACATTTTGGATATTAATACAGGTTTGTAAAAATACATTGAATAAAATAAAAAGAACATCACATGCAGATGCTAGACACAGATGTATACTGGGAGGACGAGTGTCAAGTTATGTAATTCCTAGCTGAGTTTTTCTTGGCCAGAAAGGAAATGAAGCATGAATTCATCCTTCATTCACCTTTTCTCTCACCATTAACAGGACATTTGACATATTTACTGGCTTGTGAAAACTACAGTTTGTACATGTTAATGCCAGCCATGTTCTGTTACAATAAAAGCAAGTGTGAATTCGTTTAAATACACTTCAGACATATCACGTAGGGTGTTTATAAGACACTTGAGAAGTTTATTGGATATTTGAACACTTTCTGGTTGGCAAAATTTAGCGTAATGGACTTACATTTACATTTAGTCATTTAGCAGACGCTTTTATCCAAATGAGGACAATGGAAGCAATCAAAATCAACAAAAGAGCAATGATACGCAAGTGCTATAACAAGTCTCAGTTAGCTTAACGCAGTACACGTAGCAAGGTTTTTTTATTATTATTATATAATAAATAAAAAGAAAACAGATAGAATAAAAAAAGAATAGAGCAAGCTAGTGTTAGAGGCCTTTTTGAGGGGAACTGACTTCATACTGTACAGCTAAAAATCAACACCCATTTGGTTGTCATTGCAAAAATGGTTCAGATAATGTAAGTTCTGAGGAAATGATACAGGGGCCACTTGGTTTGATATTTTGTTATCTGATGCAATAGCATCAATGTCCTCCATGGCTATATTCACTGACAGTGTGTAAGCAGTAGAAGCTGGAG